TGCATGGTCCTGCAGTGACAAGGTCATAATTACTTTCGTATGAAAAGGAGCAAAAACTTAAAAAAACAAAAAAAAAATGAGCTACGAATTGCAAAATTCCTTTCTTAAATTTCCAAAATTTTTAACCTTGATGACGGCCTAATAAATGAGTAAAGCACAAAAAAAAAAAAAAAAAAAAAAACTTGCGATAAATACTTTGTTGCGCTCTAAAGTGAAGTAGACGCGGAAGGCTTGGGTGCCAAAGTAATTAACACCGGTAAACGGTAGAAAAAACTGCTCTTTCCGAAGCAATTAAATATTAATTTGTAAATTTAATAAAATCGGTAACATATAATCAAGCGCTACTAATTTCGGATCCCGCCCATCTTCGTATAGGTTTAGAGATTCGTGAGAATTCGTTTTTGTTTAATAAAATTAAAAATTTTCTTAAAATTTGCGAAAACCGATACCTTTCCACTACCTTTCCATGCACTTTGAAAGATGGTAAAAATTCATTAAAAATGCAAATATTCCTTAAATAAAACGATGTTTGTTTACAAGCGATTTCGCATACATACATATATATTCTTTGCATCAAGTTTGTAAATACAGGCGCTAACATTTATTCGTAGTCGATTGCTTGTGAACAAGTTTAGTGTTAATTTCTACCCCTCCTGTGATTTGCATATGCATTGTACAGTACTTTAACTTGAATTGATCAATAAATGAATCAATAATTCCTCTTTCAATATTCATAATGGCACGCGGATGACTCCTTTTGGTACCCTTTGCATGTTTTATTTACTACAATAACTACTAGCTATGCTCTTTATTCGAGATATGATCGTTATCGATCACTTTACAAGATTCAAAAAAAAAAAAAAAAAAGTGCACACAATAATGAGATAAACACGACAATACTGTACATCTCTCTAACAAGTTCCTTCGACAAAATAGCTCCAAAATTTTTCACGATGGGCCCAAAGATTGTTGAGAGTATTGGAAAACACAAAATGAAAAAAAAAAAAATGGTGGATGGCGAACTATTAGTGCTTCGTCTAACACAATTCCTCCCTTGTTTTGATGACCAAATGCCAAAACTGTGTCCATGGCAGACCTTATATGGGGACGAGGACAAACATATGAATTAAAGTGATCCACCTTCAGCCACAAAACCAATTTTCTTCTCAAAGATCCCGTTGTTCTTCACTTATTTGCTATGTGGATGCATGCACTCTAACAAATAGATCTTCGCGATTTCAATTTGATGAACTTGGCTATTATGTTCAACTACTGTTATAAACCAATCAATATTGATTATAAAATATGAAAAGTTCAAATTGTTTTTGATATATAAACGGGTTTGCACTAAAACTTGATAGTGTACCGTATTTTGTCAAAACATTTTCACAAAATTTGTTACAAAAATAATTAAGAAGAGAAATTATGGGTACAGGCGGATCAAGTGATTTAATTTCAAATGTTTTCAATTTGGCATGAATAGGCTTTGAGTGAGTGCTTAGCGGGTAAACGAGTGAGTACGCATCCAGTAGACTGCAGCCACCACCTCCCTATTTCTTTCTTTCTTTCTTTCTCTTTCTTCACTGCTTTCTGATCGTCATCGCGTTAAGCGAGTAGGGGCCATCCCCTGAATGCCCAAAGTTTTTTCAATTTCTGCCCGAAATTCAGATAGATTTCTGAATGCTCACAATTAACTTATTTGAGGAACCTCTGCTTGATTATGAGCCTTTTAAGTAAATAGTACTGTATACCGAAATCCTTAGCATGTCTTTTGACTCCAACTGATCTTGTTGCATGGCACGTATGTCTTCTTTATTATGCATCACTATATTTCGGAAGTGCTTAAATGTACAAAAGTGACCCATAACGGTGCCAACAAGTCAACACTTGATTGCTTGTTATACGCGTAAATGTATGGTACGTATGGTAATGACTCCTGTACGTTTTAGCATAATTTAAGTATCATTCGTTTAAATATCATTGATATGTTAAGAGACATACTCTGTTTGTTCAATTGGCTGTAACATCTTTTTCTTTAACTTTGCGTATCTACCTTTTAGAGGATGTCCATTACATATAGTCGCATGGGGCATAAAGGATTTTAGGATGCGACGGAGAGAATTTCAATTGAAACTTTTCCTGCAGAAAAAAAAAAAAGCGAAAGAGTGGATTCAGAGAATTGGAAGAAAGTTTAGGCAGCTTGCAATAATCAGCGGAGACTAGTAAGCAAAGTCAAAGTTCGAAGACCGATAATAGACTATGGATGGCAAAAACCTTCCCCTACTCAATAGTCTAATGAGTAGTTTAAAGTAATCTCTTCAAAACCATTGATGGCCGAAGTATTAGAGAAACAATTGCAGCTCGCTTCCTCTCTCGAATGGTCGAGGATATCATAGATTTCGTAAATATACAGATAGTTGTTTCTGTAACATTAAGCAATCAAAAAACCTAAAAGTTCATTGTATGCGTGTCAATTGCGAATGAATGAAGTAAACATTTGTACGTCTACACCTTCTAATGGATTCAACAGAATTCTCAAATAGCATAATATTCCAAATTCATCCATATCACAATCGTATGGTGAAAGCATAAGCAAAATTCACTCACTAACCTAAGTGGATGCTATGTCCTCTTTTGCATGAAGCCTTCTCTAAATCTTTCGTTAAGCGCATTGCTTAACACGATGACAGTCTCTCTTCCCCTTTTTTTTTTTTTTTTTGTTAATCAAAAGCTTACTTTTCTTTATCGTCTTGTTGTTTTCTTGGTTTGTTCTCTACAAAATCCAATTTTATGTCGTAAGGAATTTTTTGAATTAACTCACTCACCGCAATGTCAAGTTATTAAACAGCAAGTGCTGCATATGCCTATAAATGCTGAGTATCTATGTTTCGGCTTAAACTTTATATTTGTTTTTGTTATTTTTCGCGGCAAAATACAATTTTTAAATATTCGGTTCTGCTTAGCAAGAAATTCTTTCGTTTTTCAACCTGTTGTTGCTTTTATTGAGAACCTTTAGGCTCTTACATTAAACAAATAAACGGCGTTGTTACGGTCATACGTATGTTACGAGTACGCTTTGCAACGAAGTGCCCCCAAAAAAATGGCAAAAAAAAAAAAAGAAAAAAAGAAAGAAAGGAACAAAGTTTGTTAAAAGTTCTGTTATGTCATAAATCGAATTTCTTCTTAGAAATCATAAATAACCTGAAGCTTAATTTATACTTGTAAAGTTGTAAGCTTTCTGCCATTAAGAAAAGCTAGCGTATATTGTAATTGAAGAAAATCAATTAATTTTAATAGTCTTTCATTTCTTCATTGAAAACATATCGTACGTATTCGTACATTGCATTGCATTGGAGGCCACATCATCATTAGTCATGCTTGGCGATATGTTTTAATTGCACATGAGTTCGTACGACGATAAAAGAGCCAATATTATTACTTCTTATCTTATCGTTACTATAAACTAGATTGGGTATATGACAGTTAAATAATCGTCGTTAGCATAACATCAAAATAAGCAGCTTGGCCGCCTTAGTTCAACTAAGCAAAGCTATTCTGTGCTAAGAATACCTGAATGGAATGTCAAATGGTATTCTCTTCTCAAAATAGTGTTCAATATCTCGGCATTGGTGTTAGATTATCGTAGACCGATTCGTTCCAATATGTACCTAATTGAAATAATATGCAAGCCTATGTATAACGGTTTACAGTGTTGACTTTTCGACTATTCAAGCATTGTCAAGTCAAGGAGCTATTCATCCAGGGATCTTCGATTCTCTTCTCTTCCAACGAGCAATAAGTTGCTTGAATATCCGCACATGAGGTTGAAAATGAACATAGATGCGATCAAGATTCAATTCAAGAGAATTCAGAAGATTTTTAATCTTAGGAAAACGATTAGGTATACAAATATATTCTGTCCGCGTACATAACGCGGTCATTTTTTCCGAAATTATGGGTACACTGGACTTTGTCGCTTGTACTATATAAAATTTTTAGTTCGTCAAAGTGCAGTAAAGGTAGACATCAATATGGAGCATTTAAGCTATTGAATTGAAAATTGCATCTGAAGCCGGAAGCTGGAAATCATTAAGTTGGCTTGGGGTGAACAGCTACCAAGCGTTGGATAAAGGAATTTAAAGTTTACTTAAAATTGGTTCCCCGTGAGAACAAAAAAATCGAAGATTTCACATCTGCTTACAAATCTAAACGAAGAAAAGCACATGAGATTCTTACTGTGCCTTAGAGATCATCGACTACGAACCTCTAAGTTCTGGTGACATCTGAACGATATCAAGCCCAAATCTAACTAAATGAGATGTTTTTGCTTCAAGTCCACGTACAACGAATGTAATCCAGAAAGTGACTTCCAGTTTAGATTGGGAAGTACTCCCTCATGGGATCCTCTCCAACTACCACTTATACAAATCGATGCAGTCATATTTAACTGTGTGTTATTTGCTTTAAACAAAACATCAAAAATGTATTACGTAAGTGATGCGAGATATATTATTCAACGAATTATCGATCGTTGTCCTACCCATCATCTTTTCCTATTTTTCTGACAATCCATAATATATCAGATGAATGCTGTTGGATAATACGTTCGACCTCAGTATTTGTTACGCTTTCTCTATACGAAGATGATCTATATTATGTGCCACTCGCATTTTTTCTCTTGACAATCTACAAAATAATATTGCGCACGATCCTAACGCACATATAGTACGTAGCATATACGTTAAGAGTTATGCACTGTATCCTTGAGAATTTATAAAACAATTATTTTCACACATTAGCTGCAGCTAACAGATAGATAAGTAATGTGTGTTGGATAGTTCAATGAAATCTGATGTTTTTTTTTCTTTTTTTTTTTTTATAATATGCTCGCGGGCCAGAGAGTGGACAAGCCAAATTTCATATCATTCTTTTCTTATCAATACTTTAATGAGTAATACTTGTTATACAAAACCCGTTCGCTATGAATTTGATTTCAGTTAGCACGGAATCGTTAAAAAGTAAACGTCTATAGTTCGTTTTTCTCATTATGCATTTCCCCAGAATTTTCTTACATATATTTTTAATAATATCCTGCTCGATTGCTTTAGGTAAGTCGTGAGTGTATTAAAATTTGAAACATGAAAGAAAAGAAAAATCAAATCTCAACTTTTCCGGTTCAGCTGCTTTCCGAAGGGTGGGACATATTTGTTGTTTTTAAACTCTACGCAACCGAATTACACGCACTTATGGTCGACATATCATATCCTAATAGTGAGTACCGATTTGAGTAAATTAATTACTCTAAGAGAAAAGAAATATTTCACGTAAATGAAAATCTATGGAATAATCCCGCATCGCGACTTCAAATTCTCCAATCCGCTTCTATTTCTTATGCTTAGCTTATATGACACGTTGTTCGCTTATGCGTTGTCTTTTTACTTTATTGTTGTATGTATTATTTTGTGGTTAAATGAAAAGCTTTCACAAGTTAAAATGTGAATCGAAATTAAAACAAAAGCGTTAAGAAGAAAGTCTTAACGGTGGGTATGAGCCCATTTGAGTCGTTTACTTCCCGAAGCTTATCTGTGATCTTTTCATTCTTATTTCGATTAAATTATTTCCATTAGTTTTTGCTTTCGATACAGACAGACTTAAACCTCGTTCAAAAAGGATAGCTAATATAAGATTCCTCGTGATCTATTAAGAAATCTTTGTCGGCAAAGAGTTTTTCACAAGACGTGGAAAGAATTTCTTAAGAATTCATATCTTAAGAACTGATGTAGTTTTTTTTTTATTTTTTTTTTTTTTTATAAAACATGCCATAATTACTTTTCAACCAACAGCAAAATGTCTTCAAAGTGAAAGCTTTTTATCAATTATAACGTTATGACTAATGGACGGCATGCCAAACCAGGCCAATAGGCCTCGCATTTTATATTATCTTGGAAGCCAAAGCAACAATGGAAGACAACTTGATATGGATTGTTTCATCTTTGGCTTCGACTGGATGGAAAACCTATCTATATTTCTCCAAACCAATACTAATAAGTGCCTCTTGTTAAACCGTTCACTTTTCAATTTTAATTTTAAAAAAGTACTTTCATCCTTAAGTTCATAGAGTAGGTTTAAAAAGATTTGTTAATCTTATCTTCTAATGATACATAAAATTAAGCGATAATATAGCCATGATGTCATAGCCATGTTTAACAAAAGAACTTCGAAGGCTTTCGAAGTTGTCATGTTCTTGCGAATTAGTAGAGCACATTGCTTAGCTGAGAAGAGTGAAGTGGTGTAGAAGAGAGAAACTCTCTAATATTTCAACTAAGCCATTGCAGTGTTTAATCAATCACTTAACTGTACATGACCAATACCAATACATGATGAGCCATCCATCCATCCGTTCTTGTCGGATTTTTAAAAAAAAAAAAAAAATTTTTTTATTATAATGATTTCGCATTTGTTATAATAATGCCTTTTACAAAGTGTGTATGTGATTGTGTCAAGCTGGGTTATTACAAGGCTTTATATCATACATGCTCCGTGTATGATGAGTAAACTTGTCATCGCTACATTTTTGGGACGCATATTAAATGCATATTTTCCCAAGAGGTTGACACACTTAACCGTCGATCCTACCACAAGTGAATTATGCCCTATGAGGTTGGAGTTATTAGTTCATATCCTTTTAAAAATATTATGAGAATCGTCTTTTTCAAATGTCAAAAGCGCTTGCTATCATGAGAGAAAGAACATTTTCATCGCACACACTTTGCAGGCATTACGTCATAAATCCATATCCCTTTGACAAACCTTGTTGTATGACTACCAATATTATCTGATAATTTTATATCAAATGCTCTTCGCCTTTGTTTTCGTTATTGTTATCATAATCAAAGAGAGTTTACATGTTTCAAGTAAGGCTTTGATACACTAATCGGCTTTGCGTGCGTAGGCCGTGAATTTGAGTTTAGCAGAAAGATTTCCACGTAGTTGGTTCAGTTGGCTCTTAAGAGAGGGACATTAACATATCCTAAAAGTCTAATGACACGACCAGGCATAATCTTATAACGCTTGACATGCTTGACATACACGAACAAGTTGCCGGTAATCGTTAAAATAGGTAAACGTCACAACTTTTCGTGATTCTAAAGACATACATATACATATATATAGATATATAGATATGTAAGAGAATTTTAATTATTTTATTTATGTACGAGCGCAATTATTTGCATTTAAAGGTCTCTCACTAAAATGTTTTACGTGCACCAGTCCCCAAGAATGTAAGAAGCCACAATTGCTTGAATGCTCGAAACTGTTGGCCAACAATACCCGAACTTACTTGGATGCATATCATCAAGGTGTAAATTTGAATGCCACAAGTCTCTATTACGAATGTTTCTATGAAGAATTAAGAGTCGGTGAGTTCAATTTTAGTAAAATAATTTTCACTTTACTACACAAAAATTTCCATAACTCAACAACGCCCTATATTTTCATAGTTAAATCTTTCTTCGCTTAAAAGTCACATCAGGAAAGTATTTTATGTTTCAGATTTTGGTATTGACTATGCATTGCGTATAAGATAACAGTGAAATGCAGTTATACGCGATAAAGTATTACTAAGCAACTTATAATTGTCTGAGAGCGAATCGGGATTGCGTCCGCAATATTTGATATACTGGATATATAATTTGTTCCGATAGCGAATTGCGTCTCTAATATGGCTTCGATTGTTAATTTAGTTCGTGAATTATAGTGCTAGAGTGGCCGAGTCTGTCCGGACCTCTGTGTCTGCTTTCCAATCATTGTACGCGAATTCTGTCAGCGTTAACTCTTTCAACTCCTTTGGTCACTATGTGTCGGCATTGTGTTTCGTACGTCAAAGTCTTTGCCGACGAACACTTGACATTAGTTAGTGGTATGAAAAAAAAAAAAGAAGCTTCATATGAAACTTGTTCATATTAAATATAATTCGATTTCATAAGTAATTAATAAAATAAGGAAACTTTTCTTGTTAACGGTATAATAATTGCAAAAATCAAAATCAAGTCTTTGAATGAGTGTTGCCTCTTGAATGCCTGCTTATCATACTTTGATTACACTACTTTACATATATATTTACACTACTATCTATCATTTTACATAAAAGATTATTTCTATTGGTTGTAGATTAACTGATATATACTATCACTACTATCAGAAAATTAATTCCGTGCCATAAACCTGTCACGATGAATATAAAAATGGCATAGGCTAGATATTTTCTTGTGACATTTCTGATGATCTAAAAAAATATAATTCCAGCTAAAGAAAAAGAGTGCGTTACAACTAATGAATTGTTATGATATTATGCTCCGCAGAAGAGCTTTCGGGTTTTCACACTTGGAATTGCCAGACCCCAAGTATTAAATACTTGTAATTATATTATAAATAAAGTTTATTGTAATAATTTGAAAATTACAAATGTAAATGATAATATCGGACATGGAGTAACAACATGAAGTGTCACAAGGACACATTGCTGCCTGCGAAATATTGCATAATAAGTAAAGAAAAATATTTATGGCTATCAGTAATTTTCAATTTTTCATGTTCTCTATCCAATGCATATGAATACATGTTACTGCCTTTTTAATAGATTTTTCGAAACATATCGCTTTATGCTACAAATGTAGTAGGAAAACAAATATATATTTCCTTGATGGTTATGACAATATTTAAATGCTAATGAAAGTATATAAAATTTCATGTAATTTAAT